AGCCTACTTGGTTTGTGAATAAAGCATCATAGTAATTGTTAGTTTAATTCCAAGTGTGTAATTGGACTCAGTGGAAATAGTGTGAACACTAAGTGAGCTTTTCTAGCTCTTAATACTGTTATCTCTAGACATAGGCAGTGGAGTGGGAACTATCTACCCCCATAAATTAACTGAAAGGTTCTGTTTGAAATTCCCTGTGAGTTACTCAAAACAACATAGACCTGATGAAGGCCAGAGGGCACAATGGTCGTAACATTGTGGTAACAACAACAATGATGCAGACAATAGTCTGCATGTAAATAATGTATATGATAAGTCCTCTTTCCAGAAATTGACACAAAAAGAGATTGTAACATCTATCTTTGACACTGTGTTGCAGACTAAAATGTACTTAATATATATGTGAATATTTAAAAAAAAAATGAATTCACTGTTTGGTTAGTTATATAAACTGTTACACATTATTTACACTATTTACATTGTTCGGTCTCTTGTCCTCATCATTATTGCCATATTCACAATGTTTTGGCCATTGTACACTGTGGCCTTCTTCAAGGGATATTTGTCAGAATTTTGAACAAATATCACCTGAAGAAGGCCGAATTGTACAACAACCAAAACATTGGGAATATAACAATAAAGATGAGGACAACAGTTTGAACAGTGTAAATAGTTATAATACCCATCTCAGAAATATAAACAGATGTTACACATCAATTAATTAGTAGTAATTGGAAGTAATGTTTCATTTCTAAAGATTGAATTAAACCTGTTTGCATGTAGCAAACATTAACAATATAATGATCATTATTGATAATGACAAATGTCTTACTTACTGGAGGATTTGAGATACCAACATGTAAACCAAAGCTTCTCCCTCTATAGTCTTCATGAACAGAAGATAGATTATGCCAGGTTTTATTTATTCTAACATCTTAAAATTAATTTAAAACCATTATGACAGATATTCATCTGGATCAAGTAGAACCTATGACCTAAACCTCTTCGTCAACAGTCTCATTCTGAAAAAGAATGCAAATTCATACTTAGTAAAATAAATTCAGGTTAGTAAGTTGAAGTATTTTTCTATATTCTTTAAACTTAGTGCCTTAAGATTTCAATTTATCCAAATCTCTGGAACACTCTTAATAACAAAACTTTTAAAAGTTGGAAACAGATCAAATTAATATGATCAAAATTTTTTAAATACAGCTTTTCTTTTAACAAGGAATAAAAGAATTAATTTCATACTGAGCTTTTATCATTGCTAATAATGATTATGAAAAATTTAATGTTTGTTACATTCTAATTTTTTTCTTTTTTTATTTATTCCATTTCTTAGAATTTGGAACAATATCTGTAATATTCAGCTCTTCAATTGACTCTTGTATTGAAATGTTTCAGAAAGAAAGCCTCATTCAAAGTCTAAAATAAATCATCTTTTTTTTTTTCTTGTTTATTTTTGTTTTTTTTTATACCTAGGATAACTTTCTCAGTATGAAGTTTTGATTCAAAGTGTCACTAAGACAGGAAAAAAAAACTTATTAAATCCAAAATGTTTGCACTTCAATCAGCAATACATTTGAGTTATCAATGATGAAGTTGCAAATACTAAGTGAATTTAGTTTTCCACTTAAGAAAATTTATTTAAAATCACTCCTTTGATCAGAAAGGAATGATTGAACTTCAGAAATTGTAAAAAGAAAAATCTTTTTTATTTCAGACTGATATAAAATACATATGTTAACCATTTGAAGTTGTCTATGGAGACTTTTTTCCCATTAGAGAACTTAGAATATATAAAACATTGATACTTTTCAGTATCTTATTACAAAGACTGTTTTAAAATTGATATTTTGAGTGGTTTACTAATAAGTCATAACTAACATTTCTACTTTTAATTAATAAAAGCAATTGAAAATATAATTACCTATCTTCATTATTTTTATTTTAATCAGATATCAGGTGTTAATTTGTATAAATAATCCCATTTTTTTACATAATAATACTATTAGGATATTTTTGTCCCATCTCTTAAAAAATTGTTTAAAAACACATTGAATCTAAAGAAATTCTTAAAGATCTCATGAACTCCAAAATATAAAACAAATAAATACTAAAGAATTACTTTTGCAGAATTTAGATCATATAGTAAGTACTTTAAATTATGATTACTATAGATTTTAATCAATAGCTGAATTGAAACCAAGAATTTTTATCTAATGTTTATTGTTGCAATAAGCATCAACAATATGTAATCTTTGTGTAATGAATGAATTTGTATTTTCTTAAAATTTTAGAAAGTTCATTAAAGTGTAAAGGATTTGTATTAGTTAAATTTATAAAATATATATTTTAAACAGTAGTTTTAAATATTTGCCAATAGATAAGAAGCTTGATTTTGTTTCAAATTTTCATTTTCATAAATTACAAAATTGAAAAAATTAAAATTCATTGAATAGGAAGCTTTGAATTCCTTCAAACTGGAAAATTTTAATCATGAAAGCAATTTTGGGAATACATTCCTGGATCGGGAAGTGCAACAATGTACAAGGTCTAATCTAAAATATCAGGATTGGTGATATAAAAAGAAAACTGCAACACATATAAATTCAGCATTTAATCTCCTTCAAAGTAGTATCTTCTGAAGCTACACACTTTATCCAGTAACATTTCTATTGATGGAAACATTTCTGGAACTCTTTTTTGAGCATAGTGAGCATTTGCCTCCTTATATTCTCTTGGAGTTCATTGAGGTCTTAAAATATTGTTCCTTTCAAGTGGGATTTGATATTTGGAAAGAGGAAAAAAGTTTCAAGAAGTGATATCTGGGGAATATGGTGGTTGTTGAACCTGGGGAATATACTGCTTGGTCAAAAACTGTTGCACAAGCCATGGTTACTGATGGAACCTCTGTCATGAGATGACCACAATCTACACAAATTTATTCCAAACACTGCTATAAACAACAGAATTGAGCAAGAACCTTATAACTTTATGAGTATGTGTAACAGAGTTCAAGGTCAAATCATGCCAAGTTGCTCCACTCCACATACATTAGCTCTGTTATCATACCAACAGACATCATACTCTGTTTTAGCAGAAATTTTAAAAAAACTGCATTGCAGAGAGAAAAATGACATAATCAAGACCCAAGGTATCCTATAACCCAAAATATTGGACACCTGAATATAATTTGAAGGTTGAAATGTTATGTCCATCACAATTAAAGATGAGAACAATAGTTTGAATAGGTCAAAGTGTATTGGTAACTCCACATCTCAAAAAAGAATTTATAGAAATACTTTTAAGAACTTTATTTAAAGTATGATCCACATTAATTTTTGTTGCTTTATTCACAGTTTATATAGAATACTATTGTTTTCTATATTTTCTGGCTTTCAGTCAAATCATACTGAAAACACCAGTTCTCTTTCATTCACCAAAGTTAAGCAGTGTCAAGCCTGATTAGAACTTAGATGGGGGACTGCTTAGAAATACCAGCTGCTTTAACACCTTTGCTCTCAAGCCTCATTTCAATTGTTGTCCCAGGGTCCAAACACTGTATCTTAATCAATTTTGGAACAAATGACTTTGTTTTAACACTGTTTCATATATGAGACAAAGATATCATAGGTAGTATTTATTACCCAAAATCCACTGGTGTATCATTTGGTACCTGAGTCTATTTTACAACCCAGAGTTCCACACAACTTGCATGAATACATGGTACAGCTCAGTGTATCTAAAAATAAATAAAAAATAGCCCCAAAAAACAACAGAAATTCCAAAAGGAAAACAAAATAAGACAAAAAAATTAAAAATACTTAAATATTTTTTGGAAAAAAAATGTGCTTCTGGTGTACGATAATCTCATAAGCAATCAATCATAGCATCCTATTCCCAATAGTCTTCATAAAAAAAGAAATTGGAAAATGACCTACTGGAAAGTTGTGTGGACATTGCAGACTTACTACCACAACCCTCCAGTGAGTCATGAGGGAGATAACATATTAAGCAACCTCCTACAATCCAAAATATTTTTCAACTTTAAATAACCCATAAAGATTTGATAAGGCATAAAAATAAGATAAATCAATCCATTCTATATTTTCAGATTTTTTTTTAATTAAACAAAATCTATTGGCTCTTTTTGACAACATCAATGCAATGGTTTATGGTCATAGGAAATAAGTTACTTTAGAATAAGAAAAATCCTTTCTTTGTCTATTCTGCAGGTTTATAAAAGGTAAGAAAATGTATTTGTGAATGGGAATTAAATAATGCTTCATAAGTACTGATTAAAAGTTCTTAGTAACATCAGTTTTGCTTATTCAAAGAACTATTAAAAATATCCTATAAAAGTGATCATATTTTTAAACTGACATGTTAAGTTTTTGTTTTCTGATGCCATACTTTGGAAGGGAACCAGTATTTGTATACTATTGACCTTTGTTCTATTGTTCAAATAGAATTTTGTTAATAAATCCCATGTTTCTATTCATCTAGCTTTCCTTAAAGACCATTAAGATTCTGCTGATCTCAAAGTGTAAAAGTGTAAGCCTCACTTCCATGGTTATCATCCAACTTCTGTTTTTATGACAGTTTTTCTTATGACACTTTAAATAGTTGCTAAATATTTTGCCACTTAAGTTTGGAAGCAGAAAACCTAAACACTTAACTCTTCAATTTAGGCAATGATGAGAGTATAGGATAATTTTTACTGGTTACTTTGAATAAGACATTATTTTAAGATAATAAGACATTATAATAAGACATTATTTCAAGATATCAAATTGAAACAAATAAGATTGACTGAACTCGGCTGAAAAGTTTCTCCTTAATGATTTTTAACAGAAGTAACTGAGATTTCTAATTGGCTTTATTTAATTAAAATGTCTTTATAGAAATATGACAACCAAACTTAGTTTAAACAAATTTAGTTTTTGCTATATAAAAGTCTTGACCTTCTGAAATGTTGACCTTTCTTTTATTTTCAGATATCATATAAAAAACAAAGAAACTTTTTTCACTGATGCTCAAAGAAGTCGCATTGTGTATGAAATTCTTTCAAGAGCTGAATTTGAGGATTTGGGTTCTGACAGGAAAAAATTTGGTAAGGAAACTGTTTTTTGTGATTCAAACCCTCCTACTTAAGTCATCCTTTTTGTAGGACTTATCATTTAGTCTTTAACATAGATTTCCTAATATATAACTTTTTTTCTCTTAAAATCAGCCTTTATGATTTTATCAGCAATTATTAAATAGTTTGAATGTGTGGCTAGCATAATGAGTATTTGTGTGGAATCAATGAACTAAATTCACATTCTGCCAGTATATTTTCATTTTCACATGAAAACCATTGGGAAAGGCATGAACTCATCTCTTTTCTTTTAGATTAGCTCTTTATCTTGGAGTAGCTGCCATTTTTATGTGAAGTCTATTCTGAATTCTCAAAAAGGCAATGGTCTATTAATTTTAGAGAAGACAATAGGAAACCACTCCACTATCTTTCACCGGGAAGGCAGTGGCAATTCACAGATAATAAAAAAAAAATAAAATAAAATCTGGAGAATCATGATCATACCTGCAACCTGTCATGAAAAGACTAGTTTAGAAGTTAGTTTTTACACTTTAATTTGCATAATAACTAGGAAATGAATATAATATTAAATTTTTTTATGGCTCTGTTCAAAGAGAATCAGTATTAGTGTTAGTTTTTTTTTTTTTAAACCAGCTGTGTATGTGCATAAAAATGATAATTTTGGTTTTGAGGTGCCAAAATTTTCAAAATCTTTGGTTTTCTTATTCTGCCAAAAATTTGAAAATTCATATGAAATTGTTTCACTATTTTTTAAAATTTATCAATTTACTAGTACAATCTTCATACTAAAGAGCCTATTCAGATTATGCATAATACTATATCTTGACTATATAAATACTTAGACTAACATAAGACTACAAGTATGGTCCACACAGGATAAAACTCATTTCAGTATTAATGGTATCAAAGACTAACAGGGGATTATCACTTTTTTTTTTAAATCTAATCAGTTTCACCTTTGCAAGGCAGTAAAGCCACTAAGACATAAGGGGTTTACAGGGTATGGAAGAATTAGGAGCAGAAACATTAATAATGAGTGGGAAGAGAAAAGAGTAAAGAGGAGGAAATTAGATAGCAATTGAAATTGCATTTAAATTTTGCAGCTTAAAGATGGCCTGAAACCATGGAGTCAAAAGGGAGTTCCACAAATGACAAGTGCAAGAAAAGAAATTGTTAGCATGGAATTTATGGCAACATCTAGCCAGCTCAACTGTGAATTTACTGTTGTAGCATACCTATGGACGATAATGGGTATGTTCCCATTCACATAAATACACTAGTAAATACTGTATGTTGGTCCCGTGGCTGTTTAAAACATTTATTTTTGTCATATAGGAAAATCCAACATGGCGTGTAAATGAAATATTCGGCGAAAAATCGCATTTGTCAGTAACATTTTAAACGCCTCATAGAATGTAAAGTTCTTAAAGCAAATCTATGCCAAACTGTTTTCCTGAATCCTTGATGACTTGGCTGTCCAAAAACATCAAGATGAAATAATGGAAACTGACCATGAAAAACACAATTATATGCAACAAGTTTTCAATCAATCAGTAAACTTCTGGACCTTTTCAGACGGCTATTGTTTGCACATGGAATTATTTACTGGTAATTAATCTTCAATTTGGCTGCAGAAAATTTCACTTAGTACATAGCATTAAGAAATTATGCCCAATTTTCTGAGAAAAGTTCCCATTTTTTTTTTTTTTATGAAAAAATATTTATTTTCACTTCAAAGTAATATCATTCAAACTTCATCCCTTTCTCTTTAATTTGGCATAAACATCATTGAATAAAAGGAACGGCTAAATGGTCTGGCGATGGGAAATACGAAAGACATGCAGCGAAAATCAATGTTGTCTGCTAAGTGCTGTTGTCATCACCGGGCCACAGGGTGTTAAAAACAAAACACATCAAGCGCCATTGTTCAAACATAGATTTGAAAAGAAAAGAAAAACCTTATATCCAGCCCTTCCAATGTTGACCCTTTTTTTTCACTCTTTGCTCTTATCTGGGGGTGGTAGGTTTTATTACAAGCTGACAACAACTTGTTCTAAACGTTTATTACTGGCGGGCTGACCTTTGACCCAGTTATGTCAGTCAATTTGGCTTAATTTTACTTTTGGTTTCTGGTGGTCAGGAATTGCAGATAAATCTTTTGCCTTTTACTAAAGATTTTCGTGGCTGGGTGTCAATTTTTTTTAACCCCTGGCAGTCATATAATTGAAAATTACCAACGGACCTTGTTGCATTTTGACCCCCTAGGAATGTTGATTTCCTTCAAAACTCTCAATTTTATGCCTGAAATAGTTTGATTATGATTTAGGCTTTCTTATTTTCCAAAAAAATGGTTAATTTCCCATTAAAGGGGAAAGTTTTTGTTTAGAACTAGAAAAAATGCAAAATTTTCACTATTTTTTCACATTTTACCCCTGAAATAAAAATTTGAGTCATTTACACCAGCCAATTTTACTTTTGAATGAAAGAATATATCCTTTGCTTTCAGAAAATACCTAATTTCATGGGGTTCAAATCAAAAGTTTCCTTGATATTTGTTTAGATGATTATAAAACAGTCATTTTTCAATATGTTATCCCTATAAAATTATGAAAATTCATTTTTTTCAGAGAAAATAAGCTGTGACAAAATGACTTTTCTCATTTTTGTGATGATTTTTACTTGGGATAGAAAATTTTTACCATAGCAAACCTGAAGTGACTTTATTTAAATTCAGTGGGACTATAGGAAACCTCAAACAGCTGTGGTCAGCAGTTGGAGATTCATTGTGGAATTCACTTGACTCACTTCTAGCAGTTGACTACTTCTTCTACATGCTGCTGGCGAATCTTATATGTGTTGTTCATGTCCTAAGTATTATCATTAATTACCAATCTGCATGTGATTATTCTATTCAATAACCTTCCCTAGGTTAAAACATTTACAAAACACCTATTCTTAAAGATTTCGAAACTTGGTTACTTGTACTCTGTCAGCAGGGACAAAATACACTGTATCCACCCCACCACACACACAAAATAGTCTTGACATTAAATAATCCACGAGAGGGGGTTTGATATCAATTAACTGCAAGAAAACAAAGTATGGTCATCAGCAAGAGAAAAAAAAACCCAAATGTGAACTACAAATTAGAGATGTCAGCATGATAGAGGAGCAGAAGATTGAAAATGCAACACAGAAATCTAAACGTGCATTGTATTTGTGAAAGATGCAATTGAAAAAGCTAAATAAAGTACTAAGAAATAGGAAAATTTTGTTAGAAACAAAGGAAAGAGTATTGAAATGCCATGTGATTTTAATCCTCTTGTATGACAGTGAATGCTAGGTGGTCTCCCCACAGATGAAGAGAAACTGGAGATAGCAGAAATGTGGCTCTACAGAAGGATGCTGAGAACTCCATGGAAAGAGTGAGTAAGCAATGAGGAAAAGAATGTTACCAGAAAGATCAATTATTCTCACATTCAGAAAGAGAAAACCAGAATTTTTTTGGACATATAATGAGGAAGGAAGGCTTGGAGAACTTGGCACTAACAGGGAATATTGAGAGTAAGAGGTAGTGGAAGGCAGCAGGCTACCCTACCTAATCTTGTGTGAATGACTGGTGGAACAGCAAGCAGGAGTCTTGGCAAAAGGAAAAATGCTGCTAAGAGTCATAAAGAATAAGAAATTGTGGAGAGCCATGGTTATTCACGTTCTGACGCTACATGGCACATAGAGGCAAAAGAACTGTAAGATAATAGCCATTTATTAAGCTTAGTGTGGTATAAATCTACAAATCAACATCATCACATCTACAAACTTCAGTTGGCCGACCATGTTGGAAAAATGTGATCTGTCTAATCTTCTCATGCTCAAGACAGTCCATGTCTTGGCATTGTCTGACCATGTATGCTGCTGACCCTGTGCTCTTTTATTCCGATGATCTTCCCAGACAGATTAAGTAGCTAACCATTGCTCCACAGTGAGGTGATCCCTTTTTCTATTTTCTGTAGCATTCTTTTTGTTTAGAAAACACTTACTGATAAATAGCTTTGCTGATATAAATTGTAACTGATACCTTAGTTATGAATAAGCAGTGAAATATTTTGTAATAGATTTTTTAATGTCAATCTTTATATTCACTTGGTATGGCGAAAAGATTAAATTTAATAGAAATCATTACATCAGTCAATAAGTAGTTTTATTGTAAGACAATTTTAGAGTCGAGTAAAGGAATATTTGGGGCCCAAAATATTCAAGGAATAAATAAAAACTGAATCTGTTAGAAATGTTACTCTTGTAAAAAAAAAAAAAAAAAAGTTTGTTCATTTGAAGAAATTCAATACAGCAATAACAAAACTTGCATTCTCATTTTTCTTTTCTATTTTTTTTTTTATCCAACTTGAAGTTGTTAACATGTTGGCTCCCACACAAACCACCAAGGGTTGTAGTGTTATGTCTGCAAGGCCCACATGATCCTCCAGTCGTTTACCTCATCCTGAGTATGATGATAAACTACATCTTGCAGTAAAGCCTCTGACTGGGAGGTTTTCATGAGCATGGAACCACCTCATGCAGTTGTTCCCACGTCCACCCTGACCTGGGGTGGTAGCATTTGTTAGGATCCCAGTTATGGGAAAATAGTGACCCCCCCCCAACCTGGGGTCAAAAACTATGAAAGTAGAAAAATAGTTTTTTATAGTAAAAATACCAGCAATACATTTTTGGAAAAAATAAAAAAAATTACCAGCAATATATTTGACTCATGACAAAAACCCTCTTTTACAAAAATACATCAATGAAACCTAATCTACGAGCTGATTTCTTACAAAGAATACATATTCTATTCATACAAATCTATCCTAAAAATCTTGTTAGCATTAAATAAACCACTGAGGGTGATATGCCATTAAACAAAATAAACCAAACCAAAACAGTTGTTTTCCGATTTCTTCTGAGATTTATTGGGAATGGGGTACACCAGAACATTTTTATCACAAGAAAAATTTAAATAT